TGTTTTATTCTTTCTACAATTAGAAAATAGATATTTCTCAGCGGAGTGACTAAGTTCAGCCTCTTTCAAACTGTTTTGAACTGGTGCCTAATCGGCCTGTTCTGCTGCTTTCTGTTTTTCTGCTGTGTTGTAGCTCCTGGGATGAGGCCACCCATGGGAGGACACATGCCGATGATGCCAGGCCCTCCAATGATGAGACCGCCCTCCAGGCCCATGATGGTGCCAACGAGGCCAGGGATGACCCGTCCAGAAAGATAAAGATAGAAGTAGAGCTACCCTTTCCTTTGTTTCTGTTTTATGTTCTTCTTCACCACAACATCATGGTGCTGCATCTCCAGGATTTTATATCAAAACGGTGTGATGACAAGACCTGCTGCCCCTTCAGACTGCAGAAGGTCTGATCTAGGGTGCACTGGGCTGATGCCTTGTAACTGTTTTTTGCCCCATTTGCTTTTGAAATGTAACAATAAAATGTTGACGCTGGTTTAGATACAGAGAGTTGGATGTGCTTCCCTGTGTGTGTTTTGCAGTCTCCAGCAGAATGAGGAACTGGATATGTAAATCCTCCACTACCCCCGTTTCATCTATAGCCTTCTGCTACATTTGTCTTTTGTGCTTTCTTCTCAGAGACTTCCATTGCAACATCCCTCTATCCCCTTTTGATAGTTTTTTTCCCCGAGTTTTGATATGCTGTGATGCGTTTCCTGCAGTATGAAACACTTTTATAAAACTATAAATGCAGGTTTGTTTTTAATAAAAATATGTCTGAAAGGACTGCAGTGGTATCTCTGTGCTGCTGCCAAATATGACTTATTTCATAAAATGTGCTGGCCCTTCCTCAGAGGGAAGCTGTAGCAATTGGCTGCTATAGCCCCAGGGATACACTGCTCGACTGTTATTTATTACAGTAAAGTAGCTCTTGTGTGTAGGGGAATACTTGCCCTTGCTTGTGCTGTACCTATAATGTTAATAGACAGTGTTTAAGTCGACAGTGCTGTCAAACTAGCAACTGTTGTCAGCTCTAGTTTAACTTTTCAAATTAAAAAAAAGTTGTGTTGCACCAGACCCAGGGCCACTTAACTGTAAGAATGGGGTCTTGCTTTTGGAAGTGCCATGCTTTATTGGAGTTCTACGTCTGCATTGCACCAAGGCAATTTCACACCACATACAAGCAGAGTAGCTCTGTATATTTTGGCTCTAATATCAGGAGGAAAATTATTTCTGTGTTCGGAGTCTCCGGAAGTGTACTTGCTGTGTCTAATGTGGTGGTGCTGGGGGGGATGACAAGGCAATATAAGGGCGTATGGGATGCTATAGTCATAGCCATAGTCCTTTGCTCAAACAGGTATGGACAAACTCAGCATCTATCCCTTTTGAGTGTGCTGTGTAGCTGAGAAAAGGAGCCAATTTTTAAACACTGAGCTGCTTGTTCCAAGAGTAGGGTTGAAACATTGAAATTTTGAGAATCAAAGCGATCTAAAAATCACTCTTGTGATGTTTTGAGAAACACAAGTCTCTTAGCACTGAATTTGCTCATGAAGTATCTGCTGGGCTTTGTGGGGTGTTAAGTATTATTGATGTTCAATTGTTAATTGTTCTATGGCACTTCTTATCCCGAAGGATCTATCTTCGGCAAAGTATGCAGTCGTTTCTTAAGTTTAAGGCCAGAAGGCATCATTAATTCATAATCTGACCTGTATGTCACAGGCCATTACTGTGCACCCAGTTTTGAGCCCAATAACTTATGTTCTTTATTTGGTGAAAGCAGATTTTTCAGAAAGATATCCAGTCTTGACTTGACGACTCCAAGAAATGGAGAATCCACCACTGGCCTTGGTAGGTTGTTGAATGATTTGTCACCATTACCGTTTAAAAAAAAAATTGTGCCTAATTTCTAATTTGAAGTTGTTTGGCTTCAGCTTCCAGACAGTGGTACTTATGTCTTTCTCCATTAGATTAAAGAGCCCTTTAGTATTTGCTATTTTCTCCCTGTGAAAGTACATATATGCTTGAATCAAGTCACCTTTCAATCTTTTTGGTAAGTTAAAGTCTTTCGCTGTTAGACATTTTCTTTAGCCCTCAAATAACGTTTGTAGCTCTCTTGCGTACAGTCTCCTGTTTTTCAGCATCTGTTTTAAAATGTGGACACCAGAACTGGAGGCAGTATTCCAGTATCTCAGTGCTCTGTGTACAGAGGTAAAATCAACTCCTTACTCATATTCAATATTCCCCAGTTGATACATCTGAGGATAGCTTTAGCCCTTCTTGGCATAGCAATGCACTGGGAGCTTGTGCTGAGTTACTTCTCTACTATGACCCTATAATGCTTTTCAGAGTCACTGCTTTCCAGGATACGCTCCCCCATTCTGTAGTGTGGCCTGCATTCCTTGTTCCTAGATGTATTACTTTACATTTGGCTGTAATAAACACATTTTGCTGAATAGGCCCAGCTTCCTAAGTGATCCAGATTGCTCTGTAGGGCTGCCCTGTCTTCATTATTATTTACCACTGGGCCAATCTTTGTGTTATCAGCAGTGATGTTATATTTACCTCCAGATGGTTGATGAAAGTGTTGAATGGTGTCAGGCCTAGTACTGATCCCTGAGGAACCCCATGGGAAACAACCCTATGTGGTGATTCCTCATTGACTACATATTGAGATCAGTTAGTTAGCCAGTTCTGATTCAATCTAACATATGCTTCATTGACACTGTATAGTGCTAACTATTGAATTGGAACATCATGTGGTACTAAGTCAAATGCTTTATAAAAGTGTTATCAACAAACTTGTAATCTCGTCCAACAAACCTGATTTCATTCTTTGACAAGACCTATTTTCCATAAAGCCATGTTGACTGGCATGAATTGTATTCCTGTTCCTGAATTATTTATCAAATGAATCCTAGATCAGCTTTTCCATTACTTAGCCTGACATAAATCCTGGGCAAACATCCACTTCAGGCAGTAGCATGACCATTTTTATTGCAGCACAGTGGTAGGGGAAGAGGAGACCTTAGTTAGGAACAAAAGGAAAACCCTCTTACTTATAATATCAGGAGATCTTGTCTTTTTACAGCAAAGCCTTGGTTTCTAAAGGCTTGTAGGAAAGATAGACACAGAGTAAACCGTGTGGAACTCTGTTGTATGTGTATCTACCTTGGAAAGATAAGGGGCTGGCTTGAAATCTGCCTAGTTTTGATCTATGGTTGCAAAGGGTTGAATATGTCCAACCATATGTTGAAGTCAGCCAATTATTTTCTCCAGCACAAATCTGCCAACTCAAACGGATTTTTTTGGGGTGATACTGAGACTTTTTTTTCTCCCCCTAAGATTACAATCATCTCCCAAAGTAGAGTATGGTCAGTAAAGAAGAAGGGTTTATTGTCCAGGGTAGGATATTTGGGTGTTAAGAGACTGACATACTGAAATGGGACATAAAACACAGGGCTGGTAAACTGAAGGAGCAATAGAATCATTCCCATTATTTTGTTGTTGTTGCAACATTTCACTGAGTCACTTAAAACAGAACATACACATCACATTGGCTTCTTGTATTTACAATCCATCTGTTGTAGTTTTTGTATGGGTGTATGGAACTGCAGAGTGAAACTGTCTAATCTGTTTTTGCTGTCCAATTTGAGTGGAATCCAAAAGTAAAAAAAGCATCAAAGAAGAAATTAAATTAAACTATTTTTTTTTCCATTTCAGTCTTGCCCGACACAAGTAACAGGTGAAGTTATTTGTTAAATGTTGTTTTTTTTTTTAACTTGTCCCATGACCCCTTTAGAGTTAAAGTATTTGCTTGCCTGAAAATGTCTCTGGAAATGATCTGGGTAGAGAGGAGGTGTGAGACTAAGTGGAAGATTTTCTGCCAATAAGAATCTGAGATTGGTCCAAAAATATGAGTGATAAATGCTGTAATAGAGACAAAGGCAGGGACTAGAAAGCAACTGAGGTAGGACATTTCTTTATAGCATAGTAGCTCATGTGATCCTCTGCTTTGTTTTTACAGAGGTAAATGTAGCTCCTCTAATGTTCATGCCCTAATCCTGTCATAGCGGAGAATCAGAAACCATGCAAGCTGATCTTCTGCTACTTTACCAGTGATGCTCCTGCTAGTCTGGTGTTAAGCCTCTGGCAAAAAAACTGCTGCTTGCTCTTTGAGTAGCCAAACTTACTGCTGTGTGATGTATATAGGTACTGGGTGGAGAGTAAATGAGATGACAAACTCTTCAAGTGCAGATGCAGCTTATACCTGCAAAAGCGTGCTTGCTTGTTCCCCCAACCAAGTAAGCTGTACTGCCAAAAAAGCGCACACCCCCTTTTTTGGTTTGTCCAGTATAACTGTGTACGTTAGGGCTTTTGCTGATATAGAAATGTTGCTAGGGAGGAATCACCCCCTAACTCACATTGCTATTTTAGCAAAACTTCTTAACATGGACTAGCCTAACTTTTGCCAGTGCCCCACTGTGTGTCCTAGGGAGAGTAGAGAGGGAAATAATTCTTCACCTTCCATGCTTTGGAAAAGGCTCTGTTCAGAGGTGTGGACAAGACAGGGTAATTATGCTTATGATTATGTGGAGCCCTGGGAGGGTGGGTTACAGTCTTAAGGGTGTAGGAGGGGCAGCATGCTTGTCTTGGTTGGTGGAGCCGCGGGCGAGTGCAGTTGATGAGACCATGGCAGGGGTGGGGTGAGGGCCCCCCTCCCCACACACCTGGGGGCAGTGGGCCACCTGTGGGGGGGAGCCAGGTAGGTGGGTGGTGGGTGCTGCCACCTGGCGTTGGTCCTGAGGTAGTTCTAGGTGCACGCTGCAGGGTGGGGTCCTTATGGGTGTCCGTGCAGGGGAGGGTGGGGGGCGTGTTACTGGCTGGGAGAGGGACAAACGCAGCTGGGCTCGCCTCCTCGGACCGGCAGAGGGCGCTGCTGCTTGGCTGTGCGCTCCCTCGCCCTCTCGCTGGTAGGTGGCGCTAGAGACGGCGCTCAGCGGGCCGCCGCGGTGCTAGCCGGGATGCTGGCGGAGTCGGGGAGGGCTGTCAGGGAGATGGCAGGAGCCGGCTCCGCGGGCGGCAACGGGTGAGGGGCTGGGGTCCCCGCGCGCCGAGCGGCAGGAGCCGCCCCCCGCCCGGACCCGGTATGGCCGGCATCATCAAGAAGCAGATCCTGAAACACCTGTCCAGGTGAGACACCGACCTGCCCTGCCCCCCTCCCCGCACACCGCGGAGACCCGCCCCCAGCCCTGCCCCCCCAAGACCTTGCCCACATTTAGGGGGTGCCTCCCAGCTCGCTACCCCAAGGACCCTTCACAGACCCCGAGACCCCGCCCCTCAGTGCTACGCGTCCCCCCCCCCCGCCCCGAAGACTCTGCTCTCATTGTGGGGGACACCCCCCCCGTCCCTCCTGGGCCTCTATGCCCATAGCCAACCCTTTCTCCCCCTGCCCCACCGGCACCCTCCCTCCCCGAGAAGTGCGGGGTCAGGCTGCCCGCCACTAGGGGTAATAGGGAAGGGGGGAAGGCTCCCCTCCTGCCTTGGGAACAAGTGGGGTGATGAGTGTTCCTCACCTGTCTCCCCCCCAATCTCCCCTAGCCCCTCTTTCACCCCCATCTCCTGCAGTAGCTGCCCTCAGGTAGGAGGGGGGTCTGTGGCGGGAGCATGCTCTGAAGCACCTGACCAGGTAAAGGGGGTGTCACCAGAGTCTCCCAACTATCTTGTTTTTCCTTGTCTTGCTCCTCTTCTCCCCCGTGCTTCCTACCCTGCCCCATGTCTCTCCTTTTCTCCCTGTTCATTCCTTGCGGCTTGGTATTGACACCCCGACATAGGTAAGAGGGCCTCCCAGCCTCCCTGCTGCTGTGATTGCCTCACCAAAGTGCTCCTGTCCCATCAGTGATTCTGCCACTGGCTCAGGAATAGATTCTGTTCAGATGAGAGAGGATACTACCTCTGTCCTGCTCCCCTCCTTTTCCCATTCCCCTGCCTTCCCAGCAGTTCTTCCCACCCTCCCATATATCGGCACAAGGACAGATTCTGGGGCTGATACCACTGTTTCCTCCTCAGCTTTTCCCATTCATCCTACCAACCCTTCTCTCTCTCTCTCTGTATGTGTGTGTCTTCCTGTAGCACAGGGTTGGCTGGCAGGTTAGAAACGATTTAGTGGGAGTGAATGGAAAGTTAATGAGTTTCTCCAGGCATCAGTGCTGCTCTCAGAGAAGGTGAAATGGAAGGAATGAAAGATCATTCATAGATGTCCCTCTGGCCTGCTTTCCAATGATTGCCTCCCTCAGTCTAGTTAGTTCAGTCCTATTTGTGTTAAAGTAAAGCATAGAGGCCTAACTGAGGAGATGTTAAATTAATTTGGGTTTTCCTTGGTACTTTTGGATTTGGTAACCCTAAGATGTGAAAGGGGATGTGGGGAAGCTTTTTAAGTAAGAGGTTTGAGTAAGTGAAACTGATAGGTAGTGAATATGTGAGTAAAAAGGCTAAGAAATTAATGGAAAGAAAGAGTAGGGATAAGTGGTAATGAGGTGGGGGAGTTATGGTAAGTGAATCCAGGGGAGACAGGAGCAGAATATTGCACACAGTCGTGATAGATTGACAAAACACTGAGTGAGTTGAGGTTTTATATTAATGTCTCTAGTAATACATCAAACTTATATTAAGAGGAAGCAATATCTAGTGGTTAATGCATAGGACCTCTGTTCCTGGGTTTCCCACTGACCTGCTGGGTGACCTTGGGCAAATCACTTATCCGTGCCTCAGTTTCCCTATCTCTAAAATGGGAGAATATTGACTTCCTTTGACAAGTGCTTTGTGATCTAGGGCGATAATTGCTATCTGAGCGCTAGGTATTATTACTAGCTGTGTGGGACCTTGGGCAAACCACTTCAGCTCTAAAACGAGGTCACTTCAAAGGGGTTGGTATGAGGCTTGGGAAACTTGCATGAAGTGGATGAAGGCAAAATATTACATGGCACCTTTCACCTAAAGCTCTTAAAGCATAAACATGGGCAAGCATTTATCCTCATTTTACAGGTGGGGAAACAGAGACAAAGTGACTTACCCAAGGCTACGTAATGTCAGTGGCAGAGCTAGAAGGGACCCAAGGAGTAGTCTCTCTGCCCTGTTTTCCACCATGAACAGCTTAGGTACACTGAGGTTGGCAGACTTTGTATATTTTTAGACTGAAGGTAAAATCTTAGCATTTCTGGGACCTGGAAAGAACCTCTGCAAACATTAAATGAGCATCTGTAAAGCATCTGTTTAAGACTGTTCTGTGAGTCACTAGTTGATCTCCCCTCCACCTTTGTACCAACAAAAATGTAACACAGCCTGCTAGTAGACTTCTTAAATTCATTAATTTAAATGATTTTCTGCTAGTCCTGACAGCACACAACTTCCAAGCTTCCCACCTTCCCCTACCCCAAACCAGCATGTTGTGTGCACTTTGGATTCAGCGTTCTTGTCAGGAGGCGCTGACCCATTCATAATTGGGAAAAGTGCACAAGAGTACACTGGACCAGTTAGTAATGGAGACCTTAATAAAGCTAATGTGTTCTCTGTGTCTCACTAGCCTCCATGATTAAATGACACATTTTCTGCCAATACATAATGCTGTCATTTGCTTTGTGCATGTAACCTTTCCTCACTGCTATTTGTGGGCCCCTTAATCTTTTGTCTCATTCTTGCCGCTTGCCCTTTTTACTGTGCACTGCCGAAACCCCTTTTTAGTGACCTTTTTTGCTCATGAACTCCCCTCCCCCCACCTCGTTCTCCTCCTAATCTAGTTATTTTACAGTCCTCGGTTTTGCCTTTTTCCAGTCCTTTGTTGCAGTGCCTGGACTATGGGCTAATGGTGTGAGCAGTGATCTTGGAGTCAGGAGGATTTCTGGGTTCTACTCCTGGTATTGTTACTGGCTTGGGGTGTTGTTTTGGACTAGTCAGTCAAGCTCCAATTCTTCATGCTGTTCGCTTCATTGGGGCTCTGTCCAAGTGAACTGAATAGCTTGCAGGACTGAGGCCTGAGTCACTACCTATAAAATGGGTTTTTGTAATTTACACAGGGATTGAGAGATTTAATGTGCTTTGAGCCTTCACAGTTTAAAGCTGCTGTAGAAAAGCAACATCACTATTATAATCTGCATTTCTAATATTGCTACTACAGTTTTCTTTCACATAAAATAACCCAACTCTTTATTCATGTGGGTCTCTCTTCTAACTGTGTGTGTGCTCAAGAGAAGCTTTCTACTGAATCATTAAGCTCTCTTTATTTTCTGTTTTCAATTTTAATTTGAAATAATTCCTTGTTTCTTTTGCAGCCTCCTCAATTAAAGTTGTGTGTGTGTGTTATCTCTGTGTCTGGGAATTCACAAGGAAGGGAAAACTGAGACTCCAAGGTCAGGGAAATCCAAAGGACAGTTATATTGTATCAAATTGTTTGGTAGCTTTTATTCAGAAGAAATGAAACACATACACTTGCAGTGGAATAATGATTATCACTTTGCAGAGATCTTCTGCAAAGGTGAGTTTTGATGTGGATGATGGGGCACTGGCCTCAGAATACATCTTAAAAAAAACTTGATTCATGTTGTGGGTTTTTTTTTAACACATTACTTTCCATTCCATTCCTAAAATGGAAAGCATCTAAAATCTTGAATGTCTTTTTCACCATCGGTGCTGTTTATCTTCTTGCACTATTTTTAGCTTGCAGAAGGAAAATAGTTGGTTTCACTGTCTAGTTCTCTTGCATTGGTCAGGGGCTGCTATGGTTGGGTTGCAAACACTGTGGGAGAATGTTTATATCGGAATCAAAGGTCCGAGATTGTGAGCTTTCTGAGGCAGGGATTGTCTGTGTATTTGTATAGTGCCTTGGATCTAATCCCTGTTTGGGCTCCTTAGGTGCATACACAATAAAATACTTTTTTAATTTAGTAATTTGTAATCATTAATGGAAACACATCTCTTGATCTTAGCCTTTATAAAATCTTTTTTTTTTGACACACCCTGTGTTTTGAGTCTAAAGAGTGATCCCTTTAATGTTTTCCATTTCACTCAGCTTGGACAGTGAAACCAGACTAATATCATTTGAATGCACTAGTAATACTTAGCACTCATATAACTGAAGCCAAGTGCTTGATCTTTGCTTTGTAAAGGTAGCTCAGTATTATCCTCTCCGTTCCACAAATGGGGAAACTGAGGCACAGGGTAGTGACGAGATTTGGTTACGGTTGCACTCCTGTTGTACTGTTTGGGTTCACTACACGGCAGGGGTGAAGTTTATTTTTGTTGAATTACATGGGGAAAATTTCTGTCCACTCTTAGGGCAGGTCTACACTAGAAGCGCAACATTGGCACAGCTGCACCGCGTCAGGTGAAGACGCTCTATGCCGATGGGAGAACGTACTCCCGTTGGCATAATTACTCCACCTGCATGAGAGGCGGAAGCTATGTCGGCAGGAGACACTCTCCCGCCGACGTAGCACCAGTGTGGACAGAACTTAGGTAGGTTGCGTCGCTGGGGGGTTTCTTTTTCACACTCCTGAGTGAAATAATTAGACTGACTTAAGCAATAGTGTAGACCTGCCCTTAGATTTAACAAAAGTTTCCTAAAGCTTCATTTTATTACACACTTAAAACCATACATGAGTATATAGGGTGCTGGGTAATCTTTGCCCAATAGTTAAGGGTCCCTGTGCCAAATAACTTACTGTAATGGCATGAGTGGGTGTGATGCAAAATGGGATGTGTAATCACTATTTCACAGGTTATGGTAGGTTTTATGTGGTTTCTGAGGAGGCAAAGAGGGGGGCTGGCAAGCTTTACCCATTTCAAGCCAGGAGGGGCGGTGTGAAAGAAGGCATTGATTGAGTCAGGAGTGGGTGAAGGAACAAAGGGAGCAGTCAGCAGAAAAGCTGGGGTGGTGTCTTGGGAACAGGGTGGGATGTGTAGGAGGAGAGGAGCACTGGTGTAGGTTGGGCAGGAGTTATGGAGAAGCTTCAGTTGTCTGTGGAAAGTGGGAGAAGCCAGTGCTAAAATTGACTGTGGTGAGAATAGTGGGAAAATTGGCACCATCGCAGAGACAGCAGAGAGAACAACTCTGTGGAGAACTGAATTAGCTTCTCCTTGCAGTTTATGTGATGATGGAATGGTGCTGTTTATTGTGGCACCAAGTGGCCTAGGCAGCT